GGAGAAAGAAGAGGATGGAGAAAGAAAGGAAAGGAGAAAGAAAGAAGAGACAGGAGAAAGAAAAGAAAGGAGAAAGAAAGAAGAAAAAGGAGAAAGAAAAGAAAGGAGAAAGAAGAGAAAGGAATAAGAAAGGAAAGGACAAAAGAAAAGAAAGGAGAAAGAAAGGAAAGGAGGAAGAAAGAAAACAAAGGAGAGAGAGAAGAAAGGAGAAAGAAAGAAAAGAAAGGATAAAGAAGAGGATGGAGAAAGAAAGGAAAGGAGAAAGAAAGAAGAGAAAGGAGAAAGAAAAGAAAGGAGAAAGAAGAGAAAGGAGAAAGAAAGGAAAGGAGAAAGAAAGAAGAGAAAGGAGAAAGAAAGGAAAGGAGAAAGAAAGAAAACAAAGGAGAAAGAAAAGAAAGGAGAGGGAAAGAAAAGAAAGGAGAAAGAAGAGAAAGAAGAAAGAAGAGAAAGGAGAAAGAAAGGAAAGGAGAAAGAAAGAAGAGAAAGGAGAAAGAAAAGAAAGGAGAAAGAAGAGAAATGAGAAAGAAAGGAAAGGAGAAAGAAAGAAGAGAAAGGAGAGAGAAAAGAAAGGAGAAAGAAAGAAGAGACACGAGAAAGAAAAGAAACGAGAAATAAAGAAGAGAAAGGAGAGAGAAAAGAAAGGAGAAAGAAAGAAAAGAAAGGGGAGAGAAAAGAAAGGAGAAAGAATGAAGAGAAATGGAAGAGAAAAAGGAAAAAGAAGAGAAAGGAGAAACAAAGAAGAGAAAGGGAAGAGAAAAGAAAGGAGAAAGAAGAGAAAGGAGAAAGAAAGAAGAGAAAGGAGAGAGAAAAGAGAGGAGAAAGAAGAGACACGAGAAAGAAAGAAGAGAAAGGAGAAAGAAAAGAAAGGATAAAGAAGAGAAATGAGAAAGAAAAGAAAGGAGCAAGAAAGAAGAGAAAGGAGAAAGAAGAGAAAGGAGAAAGAAAGAAGAGAAAGGAGAGAGAAAGGAAAGGAGAAAGAAAAGAAAGGAGAAAAAAAGGAAAGGAGAAAGAAAAAAAAAGGAGAAAGAAAAGAAAGGAGAAAGAAAGGAGAAAGAAAGGAAAGGAAAAAGGAAGAGGAAGGAGAGAAAAACGAAAGGAGAAAGAAAGGAAAGGAAAAAGAAAGGAAAGGAGAAAAAAAGAAGAGAAAGGAGAGAGAAAAGAAAGGAGAAAGAAAGAAGAGAACGGAGAGAGAAAAGAAAGGAGAAAGAAAGAGAAAGGAGAAAGAAAAGAACGGAGAAAGAAGAGAAAGGAGAAATAAAAAGATAGGAGAAAGAAGAGAAGGAAAAGAAAGGAAAAGGAACAAAAGAAAGATGGAGAAAGAAGGAGAGGAAAGGAAAAGAAGAGAAAGGAGAGAGAAAAGAAAGGATAAAGAAAGAAGAGAAAGGAGAGAGTAAAGAAAGGAGAAAGAAAAGAGAAAGGAGAAAGTTAAGAAACGGAGAAAAGAAAGAGAAAGGAGAAGAAAAGAAAGGAGAAAGAAGAGAAGGAAAAAGAAGGAAGGAACAAAAGAAAGGAAAGGAGAAAGAAAGAAAACAAAGGAGAGAGAAAAGAAAGGAGAAAGAAAGAAGAGAAATGATAAAGAAGAGAAATGAGAAAGAAAGGAAAGGAGAAAGAAAGAAGAGAAAGGAGAAAGAAAGAAGAGAAAGGAGAAAGAAGAGAAAGGAGAAAGAAAAGAAAGGAGAAAGAAGAGAAAGGAGAAAGAAAGGAAAGGAGAAAGAAAGAAAACAAAGGAGAAAGAAAAGAAAGGAGAGAGAAAGAAAGGAAAGGAGAAAGAAGAGAAAGAAGAAAGAAGAGAAAGGAGAAAGAAAGGAAAGGAGAAAGAAAGAAGAGAAAGGAGAAAGAAAAGAAAGGAGAAATAAAGAAGAGAAAGGAGAGAGAAAAGAAAGGAGAAAGAAAGGAAAGGAGAAAGAAAGAAGAGAAAGGAGAAATAAAAGAAAGGCAAAAAGGAAGAGGAAGGAGAGAAAAACGAAAGGAGAAAGAAAGGAAAGGAGAAAGAAAGAAGAGGAAAAAGAAAGAAGAGAAAGGAGAAAGGAAAGAAAGCAGAAAGGAAATGGAAGGAGAGAAAAACGAAAGGAGAAAGAAAGGAAAGGAGAAAGAAAGAAGAGAAAGGAGAAAGAAAAGGAAGGAAAAAGAAAGAAGAGAAAGGAGAAAGAAAAGAAAGGCGAAAGAAAGAAGAGAAATGAAAGATAAAAGAAAGGAGAAAGAAAGAAAAGGAGAAAGAAAGAAGAGAAAGGAGAAAGAAAAGAAAGGAGAAAGAAGGAAGAGAGATGAGAAAGAAAAGAAAGGAGAAAGAAAGGAAAGGAGAAAGAAAGAAGAGAAAGGAGAGAGAAAAGAAAGGAGAAAGAAAGGAAAGGAGAAAGAAAGAAGAGAAAGGAGAGAGAAAGGAAAGGAGAAAGAAAAGAAAGGAGCAAAAAAGGAAAGGAGAAAGAAAGAAGAGAAAGGAGAAAGAAAAGAAAGAAGAAAGAAAGGAAAGGAAAAAGGAAGAGGAAGGAAAGAAAAACGAAAGGAGAAAGAAAGGAAAGGAGAAAGAAACAAGAGAAAGGAAAGAGAAAGGAGCCAGAAAGGAAAGGAGAAAGAAAGAAGAGAATAGGGAAATAAAAGAAAGGAGATAGAAAGAAGAGGAAGGAGAGAGAAAAGAAAGGAGAAAGAAGAGAAAGGAGAAAGAAAGGAAAGGAAAAAGAAAGACGAGAAAGGAGAAAGAAAAGAACGGAGAAAGAAGAGAAAGGAGAAAGAAAGGGAAGGAGAAAGAAAGAAGAGAAAGGAGAAAGAAAAGAAAGGAGAAAGAAGAGAAAGGAATAAGAAAGGAAAGGACAAAAGAAGAGAAAGGAGAAAGAAAGGAAAGGAGAAAGAAAGAAAACAAAGGAGAGAGAAAAGAAAGGAGAAAGAAAGAAAAGAAAGGATAAAGAAGAGGATGGAGAAAGAAAGGAAAGGAGAAAGAAAAGAAAGGAGAAAGAAGAGAAAGGGGAGAGAAAAGACAGGAGAAAGAAGAGAAAGGAGAAAAAAAAAGAGAAAGGAGAGAGAAAAGAAAGGAGAAAGAAGAGAAAGGAAAAAGAAAGAAGAGAAAGGAGAAAGAAAAGAAAGGAGAAAGAAAGAAGGGAAAGGGGAGAGAAAAGAAAGGAGAAAGAAAGAAGGGAAAGGAGAGAGAAAAGAAAGGAGAAAGAAAGAAGAGAAAGGGGAGAGAAAAGAAAGGATAAAGAAGAGAAAGGGGAGAGAAAAGACAGGAGAAGGAAGAGAAAGGAGAAAGAAAGAAAAGAAAGGAGAAAGAAAAGAAATGAAAAAGAAGGAAGAGAAAGGGGAGA